ATTTCGCCCCAGCTGCCAGAGGTATGGGCGGTGTGTTGGGAGGCGACATGTGGCAGCAGCCATTTAAAAAACGAAGGCCCCGATAGCCGCCATGGCGGGTATCGTTAAGGTGGTGGATCGCTCGGACACGACATGTCCAGGTGTGCCCCCCCCCTCGATGAGAGCCTGGCGGCCCATCTGCTTCCGCGGCTGGTTGGGCGGAGGGCAGACGCCCCCGCCCTCCCGTCTCAGGACGAGAGCGATTATTCGGACCGCGCTGTTAGTCAGATGAATAATCTGATTTATGGCGTGGCCACCGCAGCAGGCCTGATAATTTCCCTGGCCACAGTGGCGTCTCGTCACGTGTGGCTAGGGCTCACGGCCCTATCTAAGAAGGACCAGAAGATCTCCTCGGAGCCCCCGTGTCCACGGAGGGGCTCTTTGGGTCGGTCTCCTCGGTCACCCAGCACTTCAGCCGCCTAGAGGAGGAGAGAGTCCAGCTTAGCCGCATGCTATCTCTGGCTCCTCCTCAGGCCCCGCTACGTGCCCCCCTCGCGTTGCCATGCAGCGGAGGGAGCGTAGTGCGACAGTGAAGCGGAGGGAGAGGCGCCGACACGGGGGTCCCGTAGCTGCGGCGCCCTCCACCTCTACGGCCCAACCCGTGGCACCAGCATACCGGCAGTCACGGGGAAGGGCTGCCCGACCGAGGCAGGCTCCGCAACAGGAGAGAACACCCGGGTGGGGAGCTCCATCTACGCGGAGTTGACTCCCTATTTAATGCCCAGATCCCTGTCAAAACTTTAAAAAATAAAGATGGTGTTGATCTATATCCAAGTCTGAGTGTCCTTTGTTTCCACAATACACTTGCACATGTTGATGACTGTACCAATTCCCCACTCGCCGCCCCAGCTGTAGCTCCTGTTAGGGAGGAGGCTAGTGGGAGTGCGCAGATGAGAGTGATAAACTGCAGGCAGCGCTATTATGGTGCGATGCAGGTACAGGGACATTATGGCCAATGTTTTTCTGTTAGAAAACATTCTATGCCTGAAGCTAATGGCGCGTTTCCACTACACGGCCTCGCTCGGCCCCGCTCGGCCCCGCTCGGTATGGCTGGGCCTCGTTAGGACTGGCTCACTTTATGGCGCATTTCCATTACAGTTTAGGAACTGGGGCAGTATCTATAGTAACGCAGTGTAGGCGGAGCCGTGACGTGATCTTCAGAGGACCCCAGAAAAACAACACAGCCGTTAGCTGTTAGCACTCAGAGCTCACAGCTCCTCATATATGTTCAGAAACTAGACAAAAGTTAAACAAGTACAAACCACAGACTGCCTGTGTCATGGTGAATACAGTCGCTGCTTTATTTATGTCTGTATAGGCCGTTGTTGTGAGTGTGGACGGTTGGAGCATATACTGCGTTAGCTTAGCCAATCTCCATTTAGAAAACAAGCATTTTAAAAGGTGTTTCGCCTGCCGTCTGTCTGCAGACTTGACAAAGCATTAATTCATGGGTTTTACTAACCGGTATCAGTATGTTGTTACTTCGGCATCATTTTGAAACGTGTATTACAATTAAATCACGGTCAAATATGTCAATCTTGTTGTAGTTGTTGCCCCCTTGCCAGCGACGCTCTCTCTAGTTTAGCATACTCAGCCCGACTCAGCCTCGTTGTCTCTGGCCCTGGACCCACGATTTTATGAGGCCAGAAAAACTGTGAATTAGGACCCGCCGGCCGGTACTAGGCCAAGTGGAAACGCAACCAAAAGACGGGCCGCTGACGTCACAGCCCTCTTAAACCGGGCTGCGGGCTGTAGTGGAAATGCGCCATTAGACTCCAAATAATGCTGTTTACCATAGTGGTAGGGGCTGCATTATAGCAACGCCCGCACTTGTAAAAGGGCGCGTGGCGGTGCGTTCAGCGGCCTTAGTAAGACACACTACGCCTGTAAAAGCTCCGGTTAATGCTGTTTTCCATAGTGACGGAAATAGCATTATGATGGAGCGTGCGCTCACACGTGAGCGTGCGGCGGTGCGTTCAGGGTCCTCAATAGATAATCGGCCCTTTCTGTTTCGACCCCCCACGGGCAAATCTTCCCTTTACGGGGAGTTTGGCGGCGGAGCGGGTCATCAGAGAGTATCACAGCTTTATAGCTGCGGCCCCACAGCTAACACAATGTTATGAGGAATGGAAACTCAGCTGTGTACTGACAAAGTGGATGGACAGGACGCTGAAACGGGGCTATTCACTCCAGATTCAGGCTCTGGTGCAGAAACAGGCTGTGTCTGTTGTGCATCCTCAGCACAGAGAAAAGGGTCTTTATTCCATGTATTTCCTGGTTCTCAAGAAAACAGGGGAATTCAGACCTATTCTAGATCTCCGCGGCCTGGATCGTCATATTTCCTGCAGGAAATGTTTCACAATTAACATGCGGAATCTCTAGGGCTTGTGCAGCCAGGCGATTGGTTCACCACCATCGACCTGAAAGACGCGTACTTTCATGTGGAAATTGTTCCAGAGCACAGAAAGTATCTGCGTTTTGCCTTCCAGGGAATAGCCTACGAGTACAACAGGCTGCCGTTCGGTTATTCCCTATCCCCACGCACATTCAGCAAATGTGTGGCCACAGCGCCTCAACCGCTGCGCACACACGGCATGAGAGTTTTCTTTTACACAGACGACCTCATAGTCATGGCTGGGTCCTGGGAACAGGCAATGTTTTGCACAGCGCAATTGATCACACACCTAACCAAATTAGGTTTTGCGATCAATTGGAAAAAGAGCACGAGTTGTTTACTAATTTGGGGTGACCAGAGTGGCGCGACACTTAGACCGAACCCCTCCTTTGTGCCTAAAGACCTAAGGAGTGCGTTCAGGTCGAGGGCTATTCAGTTAGGGGGTTTTAGTCTCCCCCCATGGTGGGGACAGGGAGGCTAAACTGCACCTCCTCTGCCCGGTGCGTGCGCTAGCATGTTATGTGGAGCACACGGCTGCCCTTAGACGCACCGAACGGCTGTTTGTGTGCTTCGGGGGCGGGGTGATCGGGAAAGCTCTGTCCAAGAAACGCCTGGCAGGCTGGCTCTGCGAGTGCATTGCACATGCCTACGGACAGGCAGGGAGAGCCTGCCCCACGTGGATTCGTGCGCACTCCACACGGGCTGTAGCTGTGTCAACAGCCTTATTTAACGGTGTGAGTGTGGAGGATATATGCACAGCGGCGTCTTGGTCGACGCCAGGCCCCTTTATAAGGTTTTATCTCTTGGACATGTCTGGCTCTTTCTCCTCGTCTGTGCTTGCTGGGGCAACACAGGATTTGTAGGGGAGGGGGGGGGTTGTGGGTCAGTTGGCATCTGACCCCCTCCCCGGACGTGATGCGCCTTCGCCTTTCCTGGGGCCTTTCTGAGGGTCCCGGGATAGGCAAGGGGCGCGCTGGCCCGTTACGGGGCGGAGGGGCTGCCCCCCTCCTGCCGAGAGGGTAGCCCCCCCACATTTCAGTCCTCTCACACTCTGCACGGGGTCAGTGCTTGAGTGTGAGGCATGGGCGCTGGCGCTCTCCCTGTTATCCTTAGGGATTCAGGAAGGCAGGTGCGTAGTAAGCCCATACGGGGCCGAGGGGGCTCTCCCCATCCGTCTATGGGCGGGGGGGGGGGTCCCCCGGCACTGTTTTTTGAGCACACTTTCTGCGAGGTAGGCGCAGCAGGGTGTGCTCTGTCAGCCGCAGCCCAGATTTCTCCTCGGTCATAACCGGGTTAAAGGAGAAGGTGGGCCAGCAGCTGCTGACCAGAAAAGCCGGTCAGGGGCAGTAGGGTGGATTGGTGTTGGACGAGAGTGCGCGTATACATCAGGGCTCCACCCACTGTACCCATAGAGTCCAGTAGAGAGCGGAGCCTGTGAGAGATATAACGGAGGGTTACGTATTGTAACCCTAGTTATATAAGCACAGGTGGAGCCCTCTACTCAGGGCACTGTCTGTCCTATTCCGCTCGCTGAAGAGAGGTATAGGATGATAGTCAGGAGGCGAGGCCTCCTTTTATACGGTGTGATGCACGCGCATTCAGGTAGGCCCGCCCTAGGCCGGCTACGTCTATAGAAGTCTCAGTGGGAGAATGCACCCAGGATAAGGTAGTACCCATAGAGTCCAGTAGAGGGCTCCGCCTGTGCTTATATAACTAGGGTTACAATACGTAACCCCCCGTTTTCTACTGCTGCTGATATAATGAAGTCACATGATGTCCACTTACTCTGTCTCTGAAGGTCGGTCTTTAAAATATATTGGTTCACTCCTCGACCAGTCACTCTTCATGGACACACAGCTGGGTCCAGGTCCAGGTCCAGGTCCAGGTCCAGATCCAGGTCCAGGTCCAGGTCCATGCTGCTCTGGGCTTCAACACACACACGCACACACACACACACGCACGCACGCACGCACACACACACAGAGCTTTGAGTGTGAATAATGCCTGCTGAGCTCTGGAGAAGAGGACAGTCAGAGGTCTTCATCTCACCTCTGAGCTTTGGTGAGGCGTTCAGGGTTCCCACTCAGAGCGGGTTCAGTGTCCTCACAGGGATTCATAGCAGAGCTCACACCTTCACACACACACGACCACCTGCTGGAGAACCACACATTATCTCATCAGGACACAGAGCTCACACACCTCCAAACTAAACACACTCATGAGACAGTTTCCATGATGTGGTCTCTTTGAGCTGCAGCGTCTCATGCCCCTTTCACACCGGCGCTTTTTCAGCTCCGGCTCGGAGCTGGAGCCTGAAAAGCGCCGGTTTTTCCTGTTCACACCGCAGCGGCGCCGCCTCATAGCTCCGGAATGCGGTTCACTTCCAGCTCCAAAAAATTGTCGGTCTAGAGGCAAGAGCTTCGGAGCTAGAGGCGGCGTCGCTTACGTCTCTCTTACGTCGAGGCGTGCAGGAAACTAAACCCACCTCCCCATAACATGGGTCGACTGAAGAGTCTCGTCATGCCTGCCTACAAGCAGTAGCGCTGAGCAAAGTGACTAGAAGGCAACCACACACTTATAAAAAAAAACACACTTTATAAAGTCAGGCAACACTAACCAGGCTTCGTGTGATTCTGTTTATTTGTACCTTACTTTGACCATCCGTTCGCTGTTATTGATCATTGTGGAGAGCAGGCAGACGTTTTGTTTGTTATTATAGCAGCTATCGGATGGAATCAATACATGGGCTGCACAGGTTGTCATGTCCGACTATCACAAGTAGAATCATAATGAAAAATACGCCGGTAAAAAGTGCCTGTAGAAAACGGCTTAGCAAGTAGTCAGTTTAGCTTCGGTTGCTATGCTAACATCACCCATGTTATACCAGAGAAACTTTCATAACAGCGTTGTGATGCCAAACAGCGTCAATTCAGACTGACACACATTCACTTAAGGGGAACTGGGGATATGTATCAGCTGCTTGTGTGACAGTCAGACAGTGAATACTTTAGAGCCGTGTGAGCTAACCCGGAGCTAACGGGAGAATAAACTCCCGTGGAAGAGCAGCCAGCACTGCAGCGGTCGCTAAATGCCGCTGAAACACATTAATAAACAATGAACCACGATCATCGACCCGACGCAGTCCCCCCCCCCGTTGTTGTTGTTGTGAGCTCCGTTGGGGAGAAAATCAGCGATGTAAACGGTGGCGTCATGACGCAGCAGCGGCAGCTCTGGGCAGTGTGAACAGAGCGGGAGCTGAAAAGGGAAACCGGAGTTGAACCAGAAAAGCTCTAGCTAGGAGCTAGAAAGGGAAAAGCGCTGGTGTGAAAGCCGCATTAAAGATACTCTCAATGCTCTGTGGTCTTCAGGATGGTTTGAAGACTTCAGGAATATCCTTCATGTGGATTATACTTGGCCTTTCTATGCAGATCACTTCTATTGGACGGACTGTGAAGAGCTCAGCAAGCCTTAAAATCTTCCTCTGTTTTAGAGGTTCATACATTTTAAACAGCCAACAGGAAACTGAGTTTGGAGTTCGGAGCAGAAGATTTGGAGGGTAAGAAATAAAGATGGAGAAAATAAAGTTATTGATATATTTTTTTAAAAGAACAAGAAATTGATTATCTGTATTATTTTAGTTCCTTTAATAAAGGAACACACTAGTGGTTTGTGATTGGACAGAGAAGAGTCTGCTTATTGTCCCGAGTCAGTGGTGAGGACCAATCAGAGCAGAGGAAGCTCGACCAGATGAAGCTGATGGAGGATTTCACTGCACCTTGACTCAGGTGTTAGGTACTTTTAGCTTTTATGTACTTTAGTTCACTTCATTACCTGCTACTTTATACTTCTACCATTCTACTTCCTAGAAGCAAGTATTGTACTTTCGTCTGCAGTACATTTATGTGATATTTTAAGATAAAAAAAATTCAGCTCTAGATTAATAACACTAAATATAATCACCAAAATATCATGCAATAACTATATATTAAAATATTCTGGTGCAGAATGAGTACTTTTACTTTTGTACTTGAAGTATATTTTGATGTTTAAACTTGTACTTTAGTGAAGTGTTGAATAGAGGACCTGTAACAGATTATTATCACACTGTGGTTTCACTAATGTTTCTGAAACTAAAGATCTGAGTCCTTCGTCCTCCTCTGAGAGAAACCAGAAACCAGCTGCAGTTCCTCAGAGTGACCACTGGAGTTCCTCCATTTACCTGTTCCCTGTTTAACTCCGCCTCCTCTTCTTCTCCCCTCCTCCTCCTCCTCCTCCTCCTCCTCTCCCTCATTAGATCTGTAAACTGGTTTTCCATCGTTCCAGATCTCACTAAGGTGAACACACCTTTAGGTTTTATTTTTGGCACATATTTGAGCTTCCCGACTGAATTGAACACCTTTTTTTGGTTTGTTGACATGTTTAGACTTGAGTTTTCTATTTTTATAGTGAAGACTAAGAAACAAAATGGCTTCTGCTCAGCTGGTGTTTAACACAGAACACCTGAAGAGAAGACTACAATAGAGAAAGACTCACAGTTTCATCAGAAACTAAAACCTTAATGTGCTCTGTGAAAAAAGAAAATATGTTGAAAGCCTGTCAGCTAAAGTAGTGAAACAGTTCCCGTTAAATTGTTTATAGAATATATTCTAATGCCATCAGATACAGGTATTGGCTGTAAGTACATTTTGAAACTGTACAGTCTAGTACAAGTACACTTCTTCATTATCAGGACACATGTAACAAGGTGAGAATACTGCATTAAGACGTTTGAATTTCACTGTTTAGACTTTAGATCAGAGTTCCTGAGGGGGGGGGGGTCAGGAGGGCGTGTTGATCGACCAATGAAACGCAGCCAGAGTCTCTCAGGTGTTTCAGGAACAAAGGCCCAGGTGAGCTCTCTGATGGCTGCTGGGTCCTAGTGCCCGCCCTCTGCCTTCCCCTCCACATCAGTAGCCGTCCTGACAGACTGACCCCCATCAGCCTGAACTCCTCTTCCTCCTCACAGGGAACTCTTTAAACTAACCTGCACTCTCTCTGCTCTCACAGCTAGGAGGCCATCTTGTTTCCCAGCTTTAAACAATCACACGTTCATCAACTCAAGCGTTTCTGCGACCACAACAATTAACAACGTCAACCAATCACAGCTCCACTTACTGAACTGTTAGCCGTGAGCTTCATCAGTAGCAGCCTCGTCTGAGCTTCATCAACTTCAGCGTCCATCAGACGAAGTGAAGTGACGCCGCTTCCTATCCTGAGTGTGTGTGTGTGTGTGTGTGTGTGTGTGTGTGTGTGTGTGTGTGTGTGTGTGTGTGTGTGTGTGTGTGTGTGTGTGTGTGTGTGTGTGTGTGTGTGTCCTCGCCTCACTATGACAGTTAGCAGTCAGACTGGTTGGACTGAGTCTCAGTCTGTGCTGCGTTCACAGGATCAAATGTGTTTGTGAATATAAATATTGGGAAGGGATCTTTAACAGAGTTTCCTGCTACTCTAACCTGCAGTGCCTTTTATCAAAACATAGGAAGTCATTACTTTTTTGCAATTTTGCAGAATAGCCTATAGAGTGTCAGATTGGATTCTTTGCAGCCTCTGTTGTGTAGAGTTCTGCTTCCTGGACACAGCTTGAATATATACATTCATTAAAACAACACAAACTGATCTCATCACTGCTCTTTGGTGATCTGGTTTTTCATTTGTAGAGTAACCGCAGCTGTCAGATAAGTGTAGTCCAGTAAAAAGTACAACATGTACCTCTGAGATGAGTACAGGTATCTCACTCTCATTTCAGGTGTAACATCCTCTCGATCGTGTGTTATCTCGATCATCTCTCCCACATTTCCGTGCCTCTTGCCTCACACCAACGTTCACTTTGTCATGCTGGGGATTGTCAACTTTCAGACTCTCAGACATCCATTAACCCCTTGAGCCCAACCACCCGGACGGATTGCAGTCACATTTTACCGGGTGTTTTTTTTTGTAAATTAGGGTTAGGAGTAGTTATACAAATGCTCCTTTCGTCTCATTAGTATGCATAAAAAGTGACAGGTCACACCTGCTAAGTCCCGCCCCCTAATTATGCTAATGAGCCCCTTTGATATGCTAATGACCTCCTTTGTTCGAGGTGTTATAACGTACAGGTGTCACATCCTCCCTGTAGCCCCCACCCCTCTCAGCCCACCCCCCTCCCCCTCACATACAGGTGTCACATCCGCCCTGTCGCCCCCACCCCTCTCAGCCCCCACCCCTCTCAGCCCCCACCCCTCTCAACCCACCCCCCTCCTCCTCCCTTACAGCAGGTGTCACATCCTCCCTGTCGCCCCCACCCCTTCCTCCCACCACCCCTTCCCCCCTTCCTTTAGCTGTGATGTCAGAAGATAGAGGTCGGGGGGTGGAGTTAGATAAAAAAAGAAATCCGTGCAAACTAGATAAAAAGCCACTCACCAAGTCACCTGAACTTTCAAAAACGAAAATGGCAAAGAGACACATCGATATGGGTTTAATCAGCGAGACGCCTGTGACAACTTACCGCCATCCGTCGGGAGCGCCAGTCAAGAAACGGGTGCAGTATCTGTGCCGGGTTCAGACCCTCCGTCTGAGGCTCTTCATGAAAAATGGAGTCTGGATGTGTGAGACTGTCTGTGTTTTCTTTAGAGCTGTTTTCAGTGAGACAATGCAGTTTCTGATCATTTTAAGTTTTCAAGTTTCAAGGCTTTATGGCATATGCCCATTAGCTACAGTGTAGATATGTCAATGAAAAACATAGGTCACAGGCTCCTCCAACAGTGCACATAAAACAGATAAAATACTGCAATAGAATGTTTTGATATGACAGATTTGTGCGTAATTCTCTCACAAAGGAACTGTAAGATACACGTTTATGTATGGAAAACTTTATAACTTGGTAAAATATTCATTCATTTGTAACGAATTGAGTTTTCTTCAAGAATCAAACTCTAATGGAGAGTTTATGATTTTGACACTGTTTCGATGAAACAATGCAGTTTTGATAACTTGACTTGACTAACATTACTTTTTTAAATATATGTTTTTAGATGCTTTACTTTTGATTTCTTTCATGTTATTTTAACACATTACTTTTTTCATATTTTACAACATACTGTGATATTTGTTTTTTTCTCTCCTTTTTTCCATTATATTTTTGAATATACAGACATTAAACGCAATAAGTCCCACCCCAATTAGCAAATCATCCAAAACTAAGGACCCCCACTAAGACGAACAGATTTTCTTTAAGACTGTGACTCTTAAAGGCACTTTGGGATTTTAGTAAAACAATCCAGTTTTCTGGAAATAACTTAAATGATTTTCGTTTTTTCTCCTACAAAGATACTTAAAGTTACACTTTGATGGATGCAAAACTTTATAACTTGGTAAAATATTCATTCATTTGTAATGAATTGAGATTCTTAAAGAATCAAACTCTAAATGGAGAGTTTGTGATTTTAACACTGTTTCGATGAAACAATACCGTTTTGGTAACTTGACTTGACTAACATTACTTTTTTAAATATATGTTTTGTTAGATGACTTTACTGATTTTTGCTTTTTTCTTCCTTGCTTTTGTTTGTGTTACTAGGATACTTTTAGATACACTTTGAAGTGTGCAACACTTTACAACTGATAGAATAGTATTTTGTAAGGAATTCGTTTTCTTGGTAGAATATAAAGTACTTTTGTAAGGAATTGGGTTTCTTAACAATCCTGCTCCACCATTAAATCACTTAATCTGCTACTTCCAGGCAAAAGCTTTTAAAACTTGCATCGTGTATTAAGTCATGTCTTGGCAAAAATGAGAGTCCTGGGTGCTTTAAAACATTTCTTAGAACATTTTTGATATATTCAAACACATAATGAACTGCAATGACTCACTGCTGCATCAAATTTATTTTACACTGTTGGGAGGACAAAACTGTGAGCCTCTCAGACCCTTTTGTTGTCAATCTAATTAGCCTGTCCTCATTCTAACTAAAGTAATTTAACCTAAGTGGAGCCAACCTAAGGAGTGGGCCCTACAGTCTGGGACTAGCTTACTTTTTAACATTCTACTCAAAGGGCCCGTAAATATTATCTCCGTCAATATGCTATATTAAAATATCATTTAAAAAATAAAATAAAAAATAAAACTCATTTCATGTTGAAATGATCAAGGAAAAGCCAGTCAATGTTATGCTAACACAAACAAAAGTTCTGTTTTATATGTTGAAATATAATTTAAAAAACAACGATATAGTATTTTCAAGTCTTACTTTAGTATGGTAAAATTAAGAATAAGTCACATTAAAGTTTGTCATGATTTTCCGTAAAAAAGTCAAGTATAGTTTGTCAAAAGAATATGAAAAAATCATTTTGTAGAGTAGTATGTTGAAAATCTCAGTGTTTAACTGAACACACCTACATGTGATAACACCTCGAACAAAGGGGTAATTAGCATACAAAGGGGGATCACTAGCATCAGTGGGGTAAAGGTGCTACGGAAATGAACTTTGAGGAGGGCGAACTTGTAAGAATTACCAAGGCGAGAGGGGTCTTTGATAAAAACAGAGTAAGCATATTGTGCCTCATATGTACAAGGTTAACATTGAAAGTGATGATGATATGTCCCAATGCGTCTCAATGTACATGTTACTCCAGCTGCATATCAGTTTACTCCACTCAAATGGCGCAAAACTCGCGTTCCATGGACAGACGTGTAATACACTCAAATTACAATAGATGGAGCTCTAGACTAATTTATAAAATTTGTAAAAAATGTTGTTAACACTCTGGGTGTGTGAGACGAGTGAACCAAAACGTAAAACCTCCGCAATTAAAACAGTTTAATCGAGTTTGAGCACTAATATACCCATGTTTTGAACACTTTTGCGGGGTAAATGTGTTATCTTTTCACCCTGGTCCTGAATTAAAACAGTTCACCCGACTTTAAACACTAATGTGCCCATGATTCAGACACTTATTCCTGGGTCAATGTGTTCTCTTCCCCCCCTGGGTGTGTGTATGTCTGCCTGGAAGTGTGATATGCTGCTTAAAGCAGTGCTTCTGCTGTTTTTAGTTTATTGTACATTTAATAAATTAAATATGATTAATATGTACATTGTTCTGTCTATACTGACACGTTTATGTCCATAACTCCGGATGTTTATGTCGTCCAATGTACACTGTCTAAAAACGACAATAACGAGTTAATTAAAACATTTTGGCCGCTCATAGGCGGCCTGCCATGCGCACCTTGAGTCCCCGGGCCCCCTGACTTAAGCACACTGCCTTGGACAAAACCGCATGTGCATAACTGCCAGACAAGCGTGCCCTTGGTAACCTAAAAATATGAAAAGTGTCTGAGTGTCAGGAGTCCGCAGTTGGATGCTTAAGGGCGGACGGTAGACCACCACAAAATCCACCCCTTGTTAGTCTTACCAGGGGCACGAGGTTCTGGAGGGTGTGAATATCTGGGTTTAGTCCGCAGTTGGATGCTTAAGGGCGGACCGTAGACCACCACAAAATCCACCCCTTGTTAGTCTTACCAGGGGCACGAGATTCTGGAGGGTGTGAATATCTGGGTTTAGTCCGTGGGGGAGTGCTTAACTGTGGGGGCCCGGGGACTCACGGTGTGCAATGTTATGGAGGTGCCACTGTTAGGGGCACACGCTGGTGGTCATTAGTCCGTCCTTCGGGGCTCTGTGAGCGGGCAATGAGAGGTGATTTTCCCGGTCTCCGCCCTGGAGGTGTGAAATAAACAGACTGGTGCTGGAGGTCTCTAGTCCGTCCTTCGGGGCTCTGTGAGCGGGCAAATAGAGTTGGTTTTCCCGGTCTCCGCCCTGGAGGTGTGAATGCAGGTGCCTGCATTTAAACAGATTCACCAGTTTCTAACATGACTTTAGCCCTGATCAGAGCCCTGTTTTCTGGGTAAGACAGCGATGTGCTGTACCCTGGCACTCTGGCTCTCTGAGACCCTGCTAAAAGAAGTGAGTCTGCTGCCTGCATTTAAACAGATTCACCAGTTTCTAACATGACTTTAGCCCTGATCAGAGCCCTGTTTTCTGGGTAAGAAAGCGATGTGCTGTACCCTGGCACTCTGGCTCTCTGAGACCCTGCTAAAAGAAGTGAGTCTGCTGCCTGCATTTAAACAGATTCACCAGTTTCTAACATGACTTTAGCCCTGATCAGAGCCCTGTTTTATGGGTAAGAAAGCGATGTGCTGTACCCTGGCACTCTGGCTCTCTGAGACCCTGCTAAAAGCAGTGAGTCTGCTGCCTGCATTTAAACAGATTCACCAGTTTCTAACATGACTTTAGCCCTGATCAGAGCCCTGTTTTCTGGGTAAGAAAGCGATGTGCTGTACCCTGGCACTCTGGCTCTCTGAGACCCTGCTAAAAGAAGTGAGTCTGCTGCCTGCATTTAAACAGATTCACCAGTTTCTAACATGACTTTAGCCCTGATCAGAGCCCTGTTTTCTGGGTAAGAAAGCGATGTGCTGTACCCTGGCACTCTGGCTCTCTGAGACCCTGCTAAAAGAAGTGAGTCTGCTGCCTGCATTTAAACAGATTCACCAGTTTCTAACATGACTTTAGCCCTGATCAGAGCCCTGTTTTATGGGTAAGAAAGCGATGTGCTGTACCCTGGCACTCTGGCTCTCTGAGACCCTGCTAAAAGAAGTGAGTCTGCTGCCTGCATTTAAACAGATTCACCAGTTTCTAACATGACTTTAGCCCTGATCAGAGCCCTGTTTTATGGGTAAGAAAGCGATGTGCTGTACCCTGGCACTCTGGCTCTCTGAGACCCTGCTAAAAGCAGTGAGTCTGCTGCCTGCATTTAAACAGATTCACCAGTTTCTAACATGACTTTAGCCCTGATCAGAGCCCTGTTTTCTGGGTAAGACAGCGATGTGCTGTACCCTGGCACTCTGGCTCTCTGAGACCCTGCTAAAAGCAGTGAGTCTGCTGCCTGCATTTAAACAGATTCACCAGTTTCTAACATTACTTTAGCCCTGATCAGAGCCCTGTTTTATGGGTAAGACAGTGAGGTGCTGTACCCTGGGTCTCTGGGTCTATGGGTCTCTGAGACCCTGCTAACAGCAGTGATTCTGCTGTTTTTAGCTCATTGTACATTTAACTAATTAAATATTATTAATATGTACATTATCCCGTCTATACTGACACATTTATGTCCATAACTCTGTATGTTTATTGAGTCCAATGTACACCGCCAAAAAACGACAATTGTGACTGAATTAAAACAGTTTGACAGCATTTTAACACTCATATAGCCATGTTTGCAGCCCTGTTCCATGGGTAACAATTGAATTACCCTCTCCTGTTGAATTAAAACATTTCCCACGGCTTTAAACACTAATATACCCATGGGTGTGTGTGGCACCATCTGGTGGAACATTTGTGAATTACACTAAAATCCAAAACTTTAATGTTTTTTATCTTAGCGAAATAATGGTTTAATGACCCCAATGTAATGATCATTTATGATTCTGCAGATGTTGTCTACACGTGTATCACAACGGCTTATTTTTAGAGTGATTTGGAAAACTCGGTTAGCGAGGTTTATTTTTGTCAATATGAGATGCACTGTTTTCATGTCCCATGTACATATCTGTACATATGGCCTCACGCACTACCAACATATACTAACGTAGAGTAACATGCTGACGCTTGGACTCCATAGAGACATGGACTCAATGGTGCGTTACAACTGTCCAATTTAGTGGTGAAGGTATGTTTTGATAAAAATATGCCAGGAATTAATTGTCTATAAACTATATCAACAGGTAGGAAATGGGTGCCTAAGGCTGGTCCAAGACATGGCTAATATGCAGGTGTGTCTATTTATTTATGCAAGATATTTTTATACTGAAAAGTTTATGTGATTTGGTGAAAAGGTCATGGCTTACATGCATAGTTGTGTTCAATACATAGCTGGTACTCAGACATGTTTTACATACTTTTTTTTTAGCATTTCATAATTTTAGGTATGGTTGAATTCTATACAGGGAAAGGATGTTTTCATTTGCGACCTTCATCTACCCCCAACATGGCTCCCCCCCTCCAACTGTGATCCTTTGCTCCATTTCCCAGTAAGTGATTGAGCAGATATTTTCAGTCTAATATTAAACACGATGAACCGAGATGTAGACGAGATGTTATCCTTAACTTTACAATTGGCATGCCCCTCATTGGATATGTGCACATTGGCTGTGTTGGTTCTAAATACTAAATTAAACTTAAATGGTTTACAAACACTTAACTAAAAGGTCTTCTGATTTTGCAACACCACATTACTAAATTACTTTATGAAAATGCAGTACATCATTTTCAACAGAAGGATGCTGATCAGAGGGAAGCCCTGATCATTCCACTGTGGGTTCCAGGGCATTTTCTCCTGTGTGTAAGTTCATTATACCCACTGAAAATATACAGACTTTGTATGCAGCATATGACATCCTGTTGTACATTGAAAGGATGTGGTTGTACATTTCTTAGCTTTAACCTTCATTACTCATGCCATTTGCTTGTGAATTTGTTGAGGCAATGTTATTACCCGCAAAGTGTACTATTTGCTTATTGTCCAGACTGCATATTCCCTGTAGGTGATGAGGCCACTCCAGAAAGAACTGTTCTTTCTGGATTCGCAATATTTCAGAAGAACAGGGGGTTTCCCCTGTGAGCCCTACAGGAATCTATTAAGGTTACCCTGGATGTGTGTGTTCTGGTGGTCACGTTACCCTGACCTGCCTATAATGTTAAGACTATGTTTAAAAAAGAAAAGTTCAAACGGGAGGCACTGTAGTCCTTAAAGGTGGGGTAGGTAAGTTTGAGAAACCGGCTCGAGTGCGCTGGAATTTGAAAGTACGCAGCCTAAAAAAATCTGCCACTTCCTTACAGAGCCCCTCCTCCAACACACACGAACGCACACATGACCAATGAGGGCACGAGATAAGTTTGTGCACAGATGGAAGGCTGACAGGCAGGTAGGCCATCCAGTTATTTTAGCCGGGCCGGCTCAGATGATTGGTCGTGCTTTTTACAGTACTACGGCTTCCAGAGATGACTTTTTTTTATGGATTTTTTGTCAAAGCACTTCAGATATTCATTGCTATCGGGATGTTAAGAGCATTCCATGGAATATAACAAAAAGTGTATCTCGAGCCGCTTTCTCAAACTTACCTACCCCACCTTTAAATACGGAAGGATTGTTATAGTCAGAAAAGATTGGCTTCCTTAAAGCTGAAGTTGAATGAAATAGTCAAACGCAATCGAAAGGGAAACCAAGAGAAATCTTCCTCGTTGAACTTTTTCCAATAATATGATTTACTTTATTTGCATGGTCTGAACGTGTTAATGGCTGTTATTTTTCTACAACTGTGTTCCCTGTTCTGTGGACTACAGTTGGCGGTTCATGTTCTGAATCTGAAGCAACAATGTTTTGTTCCCCCTCTTTTTTAATAATTTCTGATGTTTGACCTAGTTTTGCTCTTGCTTTCCCAGGGGTGTTGCACAGCAAATCATTGCAGGATCCTGGACCGAGAAGACTGCTCTGGATTTTGAGGTGTTTGCAATGTCACTATTGTATTGTCACAATTGGCTATTATGCTCTTACTAACTTTTCTTCATACAGGGGCTTCCGAAGCAGACCCATGGGAATGACTGTGGTGTCTTCATGATAATGGTGAGTAAGGATAAGGCCGTGATATGGCACAATTGATTGCTCCTTAACACCTTTCATTTGTAAATGCATGCAATAGTGAATAGTTTCTTGTGGCATTATCAGCCCTGCACATTTTATTGGAGGTGTGTGACTACTTTCTCAGAGTTATAAGCTGTCACGTGTACATTATGTCTTGCATGTCTTAATAAAATTCTCATTACAGTATGCCTGGTATTTTGCCATGGAGGCCAGCTTTGACTTCAGCATTGTAAGTATTAAGGAAAGAAGTCACATTAAAATGTTATAACAAACTTAATGAAAATTGATGCTCTTTCTTTAGCATGACATGTCTCTCCTGAGAAGGTGGTGGTGTGTTATCCTGGTGGAAAACCTTGGACTGGAAGGGTATGCTGCAGTGCTACAAAAACATTTGAATTTGTAATTGTATTATCGAGAAGATTTGGGGGGGAACTCCTGGCTCTAAAATGCAACCTTCTGGTGAAGAAAATGTGTCTTAATTGCAGGTATGGAAAGAAGTTTGCTCACTATAGTGAGGAAGGCAGGGCGACCCTTAGCGACAATGTTCCACCTACATTCAGGATCAGTCGTAAAAGGACGCATGCAAGCAGCACCATGGTCAGTGTATCGCTCAACGTATCTATGACCCTGTGTGCCTGTTTCAGAATGGGTTACTACTCCTAAAACACATACTACATAGAACTTATGGTACATGCAACATTTGTTTTGTGTGGTACTGTGTGGTGATCATTTTTGGAGGAGTTAAACCGTGCATGTAAAGCACTGTCAAAATAATGGTTGACTGTCTACAGATGCCCCTGGACACTGACGAGGACCACTCCTATAACAAGAGGCCTTACAGCTTCCTTCCTAAAGAGTCGGTTAGTGTGAATGGAGTTTATTGCATACAAACATACTATCCGCCATTCATATGGAAATTGAGGATTTTGAATCCTCTTTTTAGCGTCACATGTACACAGCACAGCAGACACAGTGAAATAGACTCTGCATTCAACCCATCCTAGTATCAGGAGTATCTAATATTCAGAGCATTCCACTCAATAATATTTGTCCTGTGTACCCATTAAGGAAAGTCATGTTACCATGGACAAAGAAGACGGAAGCCTGGATGGCGAAAACGCATCTTTCAAGATGCTTGAGGTCAGTAAGGAAGTGCAAATGTTCATGGAAATTACTTATTCAGAGTTGAATTTAACATGTTTAAGCATTGTCAATTACATTTTAGGAAAGGGCTCAACAAGCTCAGCACCATCGAAGACTGACCAGTGTTAAGGAATAATTCTTCTAGATATCTAACCTTTTACTCTGACATGTGTTATCTCCTTTAAGGAAAGGCCTTGGTGCCATATGTGTTGTTGTCACCAGTGTGAGACCGGTCAACTTGACTGGCACGTAGGGTAATTGTTGTGAGAACACTGAAGCACTTCTTTATCGGTGTTTGTGGGCTCTAAGATGTGAAATCCTTGAGGCCATGAGCGTCGGACGCAGATGATTCAGTGTTTAGTCTACTCCTTCAGAGATGTTGATTTCTCTCTGTGAACCTGTTAAAAGGTCTAGCATAGAGAGAGGTTCTTCAGAATTGACGTGGCAACTCTACCGTGTGGTCAGAACCTCTGACTCTTTGATTTGTGATGTGAATCCTCCGGCCGAATACTCTGAATAAACCCATCAGTGTTTGACATCAAAGCTCCAACTCTCACCGTGTCTCCTTCCTGAGTCGGTGACTCCATGCATTACTACACAGAAGTTTCCTCCACAAATTGGCGTTGTCGGCAGGATACCAACATATCTTCAGAGACTGGTAAGTGTGATTTCAAATCTACATTTGGACATTGCCTTACCAGAATCTGTGATTGACGGTATCCTAAAATTATCTGTGAAGCTAAGCGGCTGCGTTTCGTTTTGGTTAATGAACATTTGGGGCTAGTAACCCCAGGGGATCATCCAGGGACTCTGTCTTGGCTGGTTCCCTCTGTGTGTGATGCTCGGACGTATGTGCCGTGCAGGCATACACGGAGATGTTTAAAAAAAACCTTAATGAGGGCAGCAGTAAAGTGGAACTTCTGTGTGAAATCAAAATAGAGATTTGTAATGAACAAATCGCCGAGATTCCGGGGGTTTCAGCGGCCAACACTAGCAGTTAACTAAAGCAGCCAGAGATATTACCCCCAGCGCCTCTAAAAAAAACACGGCTCCAGCTGCTGCGGCTCCGGGGAATGTGTGTCAAATGCCTCCCCGTATCTGCATGAGCTGGTGCCGTGAACTCAGAGGGAGAAAATCACAGCTTTTGTCTATAACTTTAACTCACACCACCGCCGTCTCTATTAAAAACGAGACTGTTTAAAAGCACTCTCGTAGCTTGTGGCCATTTACATTCAGAGATGTGCTGGCAAGTGCGAGGTGCGTGCATTACCTGATGCGACAGGCTCCCTACATTGCTGAGGAGCTGATGTCGGTCCGGGGTGCATACATAAAATTATAGGCTAATTGATCATGGGTGGGCCGTGGTATGCAAGTGTAGAACAAAACTGTGTTTCATCGTTGGGATGAGCATGATGGGAGGTGTGTAGGCTGGTCGAGTAGGACTACAGTTAACTGTGTGGTTTCGGATAGAAAGGGTAGAGGAAAAAAGTCTATGTGCTCTTGATCGGGGGGGCATAGCACCACTAGAGCAGGGATAGTGGAGTCGCAAGAGGATAAGCTAGTTATTGCTCTTGGACGGTCTTCAGGCACCGATCTAAGGACTTGTATACAAGGGTGGAGGTACGAGTCAAGGTACCCCACTGGGTTCCCATTGGGAGAGATCAAATAGTCCCTACCCCCTCTGAAACCTCTTTAATCCGGACTAAATTGAGCTGGATGAATTTTTGCTGTCACGCTGGTGTTTATTATGAGTTCATCATGTTTGTTTGTCTGATTGTTTGTATCAGGGGTCTATATTGGTTTGTCTAACCGCCGTCTTGTGCATGTTTTGTAACAACTAATAATGAATCAGTCCATAGCCAGGGTAAAATAAACTAAGCTTTAGTTAACTCACCAAAAGTAAATGACTTGAGAAAGATAAATAATATATAGTGTTTTGCAAAATTCTGGTAGTATAGATGTGCTGCAAAATGAAAATAAATAGCAAAAGAGTGTTTTATGTCCTGCATCTGAGTGTGCAGAGGAAATGTAAACAAGAAGCACACTGTTCAGGGTGTGCGCTGCATCTGAGTGTGCAGAGGAAATGTAAACAAGGAGCACACTGTTCAGGGTGTGCGCTGCATCTGAGTGTGCAGAGGAACATGTAAACAAGGAGCACACTGTTCAGGGTGTGCGCTGCATCTGAGTGTGCAGAGGAACATGTAAACAAGGAGCACACTGTTCAGGGTGTGCGCTGTAGGTGTAAGAAGAAGAGAAGATTATATTACTTTAAGAATACATTCTTAAATTGTATTGCTGTTATGTTAAGATATGTTTGTGACCTTTTATAAACCCTATGCCCCGTCCTGCACCCTGAGACCCTAAGAGGCATCACTGCTGGTCGTAAAAACCCTGCCTGAGGAGGTCAGGGTGGCAAAATCTGTCTGCTGTTTTAGGTCAATATTGTATTATTTGTTTCATTTATTCTTAAATCTATGTATTGTATGGTAATAATGAAAAAAAACGTAATGTATTGAACACATTCCGAAACAAAGCTGATAAGACAGAACTAGACTCAGACATAATACAAATTATTGTTGAAACCTTTTGCGCTGTTGCTGCAAAATGGAAACTTTGTTGATTATCTGTTCCAACTGGCCACTGGATTCAGATAATTAATATAAGTTGAAGTTTAATTACAGTTTTAAATATAGTTTAACATTCTTTATTAAACTGCTTCAAATGATTTCTCGTATCAACCAATTGGTCTCCATAGACATTACTACAATTCTAATAGTTGTTAAACTACTGACAAGTTTTCTGAAACCGAGTTTATGAACAAAAGAGTAAAGGTCGCTGGTTAAGCCAGGATCAATATATTTGTTGACGTTTTCATTACAGTGTGCATAATAAATGTGTTAAATGAATTGAGCAATTCTTTAAAAAGTATAATGTTGCAATCTCTTTACAATAAGTAATTACAGTTAACAAAGAAGTAGAGGTTGTTTTCCAAGGGCCTCTCCTTCACAGGCCTACACTTTAAATCATGAGACTTTCAAATCATAACAGACAGAGATCGGTATCACTTTGTGTTGCAAGCCAAATCCATGTAAAGGTTCTACTTGAGCCCAATTTAAATACCATAAAGAAAGTATTGAACCCAGCTCAAGCTAAATGTCAAATGTATTTAATTAATGTACAAGTGTTTTGATTTATTTAAAATGTTCTAATCTCAGCTTCTTTCGAGTTCAGTCTAAGCAACAAATTGTTTCTCATAACATTCTCACTGCTGTCCCAAATGTTTTAACCTTGGGCAGACAAGCTGTTCACACACCCACACACACACACACACACACACACACACACACACCCACCCACACACACTTTGGATAAGTAGTCACCTTATCCACATTGTAAATTGTTGCCTTCTTTAAAGTTATTAGTAATTTAAGATTAATTATTGAATTAAATGTGGTACATAAGATAAAATAAATAAAATAACTTGACTTGATCATTTTGTTCACAACATTAGACCTGTCCTCTAATCTCTACTAGAATAAGATAAGTGTGCATGTTTGGATGTTTTAACACTCCTGTAATGTACCTAATCTTGATATCCTTTTCATTACAGAGCTGGGGAAATGGTGTATTGATTAGATTCTGATCCGTGCACGTCCAATTTTGACTGACTTTAGTTCTAATGTTAAAGTTAATTTGACTTCAACCCATAAGTAATTATTTAAATTAACTCTAAATGTCACATGATGATGGATTAGGGTTCCACATTTCTTTCACTAATTTGTTTTACAATTAGGCTAAAGGTAAAGAGAGACATTGATGACCTTGTGTCCCTTTTGTTAGTACGTGGTTCCATTTTGTCTATGGCCTTGGACGGCTTCACTAAAAGTCACCCAGTTCTGCCCTGCTGCAGTCCGGCTGAGTGCAGTCACAGAGATGCTATGGCTGCTCTACATGACATTAATGGTCTGGTCTGAATGGACACCATTTCCTGCTCCCAGAGAGAATGACACTCCTCAAACTGAACATTACAGCCGTTGATACTGTCTCACATGGGTCTGCTCCCCCCACCGAGCCATGAACTGAAAGCATGACATCTGCTATGAACACTTGGAAGCCTCCCTGTCACACCAGCACCAACCCTTGGGTCAGTCAGATGAGACTAACGGCTTCACTTAGGGCATTTGGTTCAGATACATGACTCTCGTTACCGCAGGTTGTTTTTAAGGCTATTCATACTGCTATGCAGAGGATGCCTGTAAGTTGGCGAGCTGGTAAAAGCCCCTACTATTGTTTCAAATAGGCCTAATGTCAGGGGTCTCTTAATGTCTAGTTCTACATGTATTCACATTATATAGACAATGTTTCCACCTGGTAAAACTAAAGGCTGCACGAAACTCAGGCTACAATACAACCATTCTGTTCTGCTCTAACGATTCAATATATAGATTCTACATCAAAACAATTAGCTTTTATTGTTTCCAATGATAACGTCACCTTCAGTGGAGGAATGCAAACCTGTTTTCAAATGTAAGGTTTTGATTTTGTTTGACATTTCTCAGTAATGACACCCTCAGACACCCAGTATCATTCATGCTATGCCTTCAGTAATAACACAGATGTTAAAGGGATGAAACTTTTCCTCCCAAATCAGATATGCTTTGTTTTTCAACAAATGTATCCATTCCTAGAGCCCTGCATAATATATGTTTATCACAATGGTTTTTGTAAGCTGCACACAGGTGATACTGAGTCTTCTCGATTAATAGATTATAAACTATACCATGTTTAAATAGACTCCTAAGTTATTATTTCATATGTACCATATGTAAGAAAAGGGAGGGAAGAGTCAATTATATTGAGTAATTGATTTTATATTGGGTAATTTATTTCTCAAACCTATGTTTTATGGAAGAGACAAAATATTTCTGATAAACTAATATTTTATCAAAAGGTAAATGGTGAATTAATATACATTTAGAATCATTGAGAAGGGGTTATATCCACAGGGACAAGCTCACCTTTAACTTACAATAACATTTCTCTGCTATGGACTGATGAGTATATGATTCTTGCATGTTAAATGACTAACACAAACCTTCAAAATGATAATGTGCATGTGTCAGGA